CAATAGATAGTGATCTTGTCACTCCTTGAAATTATACGGTATTATGTTTATTATCTGTCTTGTCCAGTAGCATGTAAACTTTATATAGGCAAGTACTTTTTCTTCTTTACTGCCACAGTCCCAGTATCTACAATACAGCGGACACAGAGATAGATGCTCAAAAATATTTGTTAAATAAATGAATAAAATCAGTGACAAAATAATGACTCTCATTTCTTACTCTGTACCAATCCTTTACTGATTGTTTTCTTTGAGCATTATCTAATTTAGTCTGAAGAGCAACCCTATTAGGCAACTGTTATTATAAGCATCATCTTCCTCATCATATAGAGGAGGAAAATAAGGCACAGAAAAGTTAAGTATTGTGCTTAAGGTCATGGTCATGTAGCTAAATAAATTGTACGACCAGGATTTAAACCCAAGCCACATGGCTGCAGGTACAAGCTCTTAACTGTTCATTTTGCAGACAACTTGGCACACTTGCTACAATACCTTGTCATCTAATTGACAGTACTAGCATTTCAAAAGAAATATCCAACCAAAAAAGGTGATTGGTCAGAAAGAAGTAAGACTTCAACATGGCAATTTGAGAGCAGTTGATTTTGATCTTTTATGTTTTGCTAGGAAATTATTAATAGAATGACATTCATAGAATGACAACAAATGTGCTGTCATGGAGTCCCATTTAATCCTTATAATTCTGTGATCTCCCTTATATGAGAAGTTCTGTCTCCTTTTTCATTAGTATTCTTCACTGATTTTTTTTCTTTATTAGTGTCACAAGGGGCTTTCCTATATTTTAGGTCTTCTCCAAAAAAGAAAAAAAGGAAAGCTTTTGGATAGATTATCCCATGCACATTTTTCAGTTTCTTTTATGAGAGTATTCAGTCCATTCATTATAAAATACAACTATTAATGTACTTCATTTTATTCTTTCATATACTTTATTTTTATACCTACTTTTTTGGTATTAATGCATTCTCTTTTTTCCAACTTTCTTATTTTTGCTGGTTAAGTTCTCAGTCACTATTTGTTTTCATTAACTTGAACATTTTACTCATTTTTAACATTCCAAAAGTGGTACCATCTCTTTCTCTGCTCTCAGAATTTGACTTACAGGACCCAACCATTTGCTCATAAAGATTACCTATTTTTTCCACTAGAATGTTGTCTAATCTCCTAAATTTTCCCTCAAACACTAAATGAAGATAGAACTACAGGAAAACTTTCATTCCTCCATTTTTATCTCCATCCTCAAAGTCCCACATGTTACTGAGATAATTCAGAAGTGTTTATAATTTCCTTACAATATACCTTTTTGAGAGTTCTTCATCGGCCCTTACATTACACGAACTTGGACTGTCAGTCTTTATTTATTCACCAATATACTACCTCTGTATGTATCTACTCATTGATCACCATTGGTATCTCTCTCTTCTCATTCTCTTTTCTTCTCTTGGGGACTGTATTTTAGTTTATGTTTGCTTCCTTAGAGTATATTTGCAGAATTTCCCTCAGATGAAAATGTGAGTAATATATTATCTAAATTCTTATAGATCATCAAATATCTTCCTTTTCATTTATTTATTTAGGTGCATGGCATTTGACCTACAAATTCTACATTTAAGAATATATGCTAAGGAAATAATACACATAATTATATACATTATATGCAATATATACTTACATATTATATATAACAAATACATGTATAATACACAATATATAAGTATATAAGTCAAAAATATATAATAGGTATATACATACATATGTGTATATGAATTGTGACTGTTACTGTTAGTTGACATTTTTCATTCTATTTGGTAGTTTAAAATTCATATCTATAAATAAATGTATATATATTAGCTGAAAAAAGTGTTAAAAAATCTCAGAGACCAAAATCCCAGGGAATTTCCAAATAGAGAAATTTCCTGACACCTCTTACTGTGACGTATTCTTCAGGTGACTATGCACTAATAGCTCACAGGGATGAGGCATGGTTTCATGTCTAAGGACTTTGCTTCCTAAGGATGAGGAAACAAGCACTCCTACACATTCTCAGTGGACACACAAATTGGTACATGCTCTGTGGAGGACAATTTGTCAATATTTATCAAAATCATAAATGCATACTTATAACTTTGACCACAGGTTTACTTCTAGGTAATTATCACACAGTCATGCTGGCACATGTGTAAACAGATTTACATACAAATTGATTCATTAAAGTATTGTTTGTAATAGTATGTATGAAAGCAATTTAAGTTTCCATGAGAAGGGGACATAGAAATAATGGAATTCTATTCTGCTATTAAAAAGAATAAGAAGCTTTTTGTGCACTGATATAGAAGGATCTTCAAGAAATATTAAGTGTAAAAGTAATGTTCAGAACAGATTATATGGCACACTACCATTAGTGTAAAAAAGATTATATATGTCCGTGTGTGTGTGTATATATATATATATATATATATATATATACACATACATTTTTGCTCCCACATAGAATATCTTAGAAAAGTAAACAAGACTAGTTTCTCATATCTAAGAAAGGAAGTAGATAACTTATTGACAGGAATGGAAGATAGGCTGTTTACAGTATATCCTTTAGTATCTTTTTAAATTTTGAACCTTGTGGGTATATCACCTATTCATAAAATAAATAACATTGAAGCTAGAGTTCTTGCCTGTAAGATTCACAACCTTTCTCCTTTCACTTTTCCAATGGTACACCACATGAAAGCATCCATTGTCATAGGACAAAACCAAATATGTTTGAAAATTGGTCTCATTTGTTCAGTATCACACATTAAATGGGAATTGCTGAAGAATAGAAGATACTTTAAATGTAGTCACATTCTCAATTCTCCAGACTTGTCATGGTATCATTAGGATTTCCAGGCCCATAACCATCTTCTGTTCTGCCATCAAGCTGTAAACTGTTCTTTGAGCTGGTTGAAGGTCTATCCTTCCAAGTCATGTCATTTCTTTTCCGTTAAATGTGTTAGTGCTTTTATGAGCTAGTAAAATTCCTGGAACAAAATTACAGCTCAGCAAATGTTAGCTATTATTCTTGTTCCATTCTCAAGTCCCAAGAGCCTTCCCACTTCAGAATCCCTTGTCCATCTAACTTTATGAGGTACTTTGCTCTAAGTCTCAGGACCATCTTCTCAATTTCAGGACATAAGATCACTCCAAACCCAAACTGATTTCCCTATTCTAATCTTCTTCGTGGTCTAGCGGCTAAGATTTGGCACTGTGATTGCCTGTGGCTCAAGTTTGCTTCCCTGTCAGGGAACCACACCACCAATCTCTCAGTTGTCATACCGTGGCAGCTGAGTGTTGCTGTAATGCTGAAAGCTCTGCCACCAGTATTTCAGATACCAGCAGGGTCAGCCATGGTAGACAGGTTTCAGTGGAGCTTCCAGACTAAGACACACTAGGTAGAAGGATTGCCCACTCACTTCTGAAAAAATTGGCCATGAAAACCTTTTAAATAGCTGCAGAGCATTGTCTGATATAGCGCCAGAAGGTGAGAGGATGGCACAAAAGACCAGGTAGGGTTCTGCTTTGCTGTGCACAGTGTCACTAGGAGTCGGAATTGACTGGAGGGCACTAACAATAACAAAAACTCTTCCTATCCTCAGCTATTATCATTCTGTAACTTTATATCAAATTTGAATTTTAAAGAATTTTTCATATTTTCTGGGTTACAGTGTAAACCACTTGAGATCCCAAAGGGCATTGGGTACAAATGGAGTTCAATGAATAGCAGAGCTTCTACATACACCTGTAAAAGTCGTCTCTGCAAAAACCATTGTTCCATGAGCTACCTCCAGGCTACCTGATATTCTGTCAATCACATTCCATAATATTGTCAAGAGCATGGGCCTTGGAGGTAGGCCTAGTTCAAAGGTCATCTCTGCCACTTGTTAACTAGATGACCTGAGCATGTTCCTGATTATCACCTTCCCCAGCTATAGAATGACGATAAAGTTGTACCTATACCATATATTTGTTGATAAGATTAAATGATATGGTGTATGTAATTCAATTAGCACAATAACGGTTTCCATTGTTAATGGTTTCCTTTATGCCTTTCTTTGTGGTTCCTCCTGTTAAGAGTCTTTTGACATCTCTGAACCAGTCATCATTGTCTTTGCATGAAGTATATGAAGCTTAAAAGCTTAATCAGATCACACACAGTGTTCTGATAAATGGTAGTATTTTCATCTTACGTACAAATCCAAAAACACTTCATCACAGCCACTCCAATCCTTTGGATACCAACAAACTAGGCGGCAAGAAGGAAAAGTCACCGAAATGATTCAATTCACTCCATAAAAATAAAGTTTTAGAAAGGTGTCAATGTTTTCCTTGTCTTAAAATACACGGGTAACTTTTTTTTGACTAAGGGTATTTTAACATTTTTTAGCAAGCCTTTTAACATAAAGAAAGAAAAAGAAAATCACTCACCTTCACAATTATAAGCTTAATAATAGAAAAGCAGATATTCAAAATAGTCACCAGTTTTGCATGCAAACACAACAGGATAATGTCCAAGCGGGTCTCTTTCTGGCTGTCCATTGTTTTGGTAAATTATTTTTGTCAGATCTCAGGAAACGATTATGCTCATTTTCCTTTTTTAATCCATTTTGGTCATAGTATCCTCCTCATGAGTTAAGAATATAAAGAGTCTGTATAAAGAGTCTGCAGCACAGCACCTGACATAATTCACCTGGTTCTCAGTCGACTGAACCAAATGAAACTGAGTCGTTGCTGGGGACCAGCAAAGACTTGTTTGTTATGAATTTTATACTGCAGAACACAGAAGCAGCTGTCTACTGTGTAGTGAGCCTCAATTAGCTAAAGCAGATGACAGAGCGTCCAAATACTCGGTACTGCACTAGAAAGTTACACACTCACAAAAAGTAATTGACACCTGCAGGGCAAATGCCTTTCAGTTTGTTGCACAGCTGTCTCTGCATGCAGTCCTGCTCTTTTGGTCTCGTAGCTCTTTTTGTTCCTATTATATCTCAGTGAATAGACCCTTAAATTCCATTTCCAGTAATCAGTCTCTCCTCAGTGAGAAGAACATTCCATTTTCAAACTTGACACCTTTAACCTATCAGTCCAACTCTTACTTATAATTGATAAGAATTTGTTTCTTGTGTTTGCAATAACTTACCTCCAAACCAGAGGTTGCCTCTCTTTCTAGGTTGCAGCAACAACAGATATTCTCCTCTTGCTTTTCTCCTTGCAGCCAATCTTTATGACTCAGTAGTAGCTGAACCTTTAAAGAGGCAGCTACTGGTGAGTAATAATTTTGTCATGGAAATTGATAGGTTTGTTGACATTTATAGAAACAGGATTGTTATGGGTGTGATTACTAGGATAAATTTCTCTAGTTCAGGTAAAGCATCATTAGATTCCTTTAGTTCAAACCTGAAAGAAAATTGACATTTAGCGATAAATTCTGGGAATAGGGCAATTTGACCCTGAAGCCAAGACTGAAATCTTGTCCCATTGTGGAGATCCAGAAATAACCAAAGAATCTGCATCAGCCTTTAGGACACAATTTAAATGTTCTTAAGGATCTCTATAAACCTCCATGCACAACTTTAAATTGCTTGAGAGATGAAATATGTACAAAACTTATGAGACTTCGGAAACAAAGCCCTAAAGACCTAATTACAGCAGGCCTGCTATGCTATTTCATACCGAAAATTAGAAGGGGGCTCCTGTATTGTCATCAAAGTTTCCCCAGCTGAACTGTCTCTCAGTCTCTCAGTCTCTCTCTCTCTCTCTCTCTCTCTCTCTCTCTCTCTCTCTCTCTCTTTCTCTCTCTCTCACACACACATACAGTATTTTGGAAGTATTATTATTTACTGAACAGAAAAGTTTTATATTCACTTTATGCATTTAGCTTATAGTAAATGTAGATTTTTTGAATCAATATTTTTATTGTAAATATTCTAAAAGTAATACATAGTCATTGTAAAAGAAGAAGGAAATTTTCTAAAGGAGGGAATGGGAGGGAAAGAAGGAAGGGGAAAAGAGAAGTGAAAAGAAGTTAAGACAAGGAAAGAAACCATATCCTCAGGCAGTATATAAAGGTATAAAGAACAAAGCTGAAGATAAATTATAATTAAACAACTTAGTGATAACCATTGTTCAAAAAGAAACTTATCTTCATTGTAAAACAATATAATAACTCAGGTTAAAATCATTTGCCCCTCTCTCCTAAGTATCCAATGAGGCACCTTAAGTATAGACACTTTTGAGCAATATTTTTTCTTTTTCTTCTCTTTTGTGTTTTTCTTTCTTGTTTTTTATTTTTTTTAATTTATTTTTAACAAAATAAGCTCAAATTATTTTGTTAGGATAGAATTCTAGACATAAAATGAGTGGGCCAAAATAAATGAAGATTTTAATGAATCCAAAGGATAATACTAACACTAAGTTGTTTAATTACGATTTCTCTTCAGCTTTGTTCTTTACACCTTTATATATTGCCTGAGGATTAATGAGTAAGTGATGACAATCAAAAGCAGGGACATCAATGTGAACAATGTCGTGGCCACAAGTATGATGAGCTCATTACCTGAGATGTCAGCACAGGCCAATTTCACGACAGCCAGAATTTCACAGGAGAAATGATTGATGGCTTTATTCCTGCAGAAGGTAAACTGTACCACAAATGCAGTTTGTACTGCAGAGTTGACAACTCCTATGATCCAGAACCCAGCTGCCATAGGCACATAGGAATCCTTGCTCATGATGACAGGGTATCTCAGAGGGTTGCAGATAGCCACATATCGGTCAACGGCCATCATGCCCAGGAGCACACACTCTGTTGTCCCCATGGCCAAGCCGAGGAACATCTGCACTGCACAGCCAGAGAATCAGATGGTCTTTCTTTCCAAGATATTAGCTCAGGGCCAATCTACCTCAAGAAAAAAGAGAAAGATTGGCACCAGATGTTAGCTCAGGGCCAACTTCCCCACAAAAAAAAAGAAAAGAAACAAATCCTAGAAAAGACTAGTATGACTTTTATCCCTATAGTTTTACTTTTTCCAGAACGTTATATAAATGGAATCATATGAGCCATTTCTGTCTGGCTTCTTTCGCTTAGCATAAAGTCTCTGAGATTCATCCAAGTTGTTACTGCTGAGTAATATTCCATTGTATGGATATGCTACAGTTTGTTTGTCTATTCACCTCTTGAAAGACATTTGGGTTCTTTCCAGTTTTTGGCAATTATGAGTAGAGCTGTTATAAATATCTATGCCCAGATATTCGTGTGAATATAAGGTTTCATTTTTCTAGGGTAGATATCCAGGAGTGGCAGAATGGATGATATGAGACATGAATATTTAAGTTTAAAGAAACCGCCAAACAGTTATCCAGAGTGGCTGTACATTTCTGCATTTCAACCAGAAATGTATGAAAGTTCTAGCTGCTTCATATCTTGATCAACACTTGGTATTATCAGTATATATTTTTTACCCATTCTAATAGGTATGTAGTGATATTTCACCATGATTTTAATTTGCATTTCCCCAATGACTATAGTTTGGGCGTTTTTTGTTTTATAGTCTTTTTGCTGAGAAAGATTCACCCAGAGCTAACATCTGTGCCAATCTTCCTCTATTTTGTATGTGGGTCGCCACCACAGCATGGCCACTGACAAGGGGTAGAGATCCATGCTTGGGAACCAAACCCAGGCCACCAAAGCAGAGGGCACAGAACTTAACCACTAGACCACAGGGCTGGCCAGGTTTGGGGTTTTTTGACATCATTCTACTCTCTTTAGTGAAGCATCATTCATGTCTTTTGCCCATTTTTAACTGGGTTGTTTGTTTTCTTATTGTTGAGTTTTGAGAGCCCTTTATATATTCTGGCTATGAATTACTTATAAGATGTATGATTTGCGTATGTTGTTTATAAGTGTGTGACTTGTCTTCACATTATCTTAATATAAACAGCTTTAATTGACATTTTAACTGGTTGCTGCTTAAGTCCAATTGAAGGGGACACACAGAAAGAGTAAGACCAAAAGATATCTTCCAACAGGGCAGTTCTTTGACACTTCTCAGCTTGGGTGATTCCTCAGGGAAATAGCCACTGTCATCACACAGGGAGCAGACAGAGTAGGTTTTGCATTCAAAGATGTTGCCACATAAAGTCTCAGGCCATTCCTTTTAACTTTTCCTCAGAAAAAGCTCCTCTCTCTCAACACGCACACATTTCCAGTAATATCCTTGTTCACAGACACAGAATCCATTGAAAGTGCTCTAATTCATTCACAAAACAAACAGGCACTTAATATGTAGACCATTTCTCCTTATACATGAAACTTGGTGCAAATTTTACATCTGAATTGAATCCTTTGGACCTATCTCAGCCAGCTTCTAACTATCTATGTCTGCCTTTGGCCATTGTTAGGGTACTTATTTTTGATTACTATTTTGCCTTTGCCTTTATTTTAATCAACACCACTTTTTATACTTTGGGATACTTTTATACACTAAAGAACCAGTAGCCTATCAGTTCCACCTCTTCAGAGGTTTGATTGTGTCACTGCAGCTTTTATTTCTGGTAAATGAATAGCCCTGTGAAGTCTTTAGTCTGTCTTGACATATGTTTAAAAGAAATGAATCTAGTCTATTTTGATCCTGCTGGGAAAAGTGTCCTCATCTCAGTAATCCTCTGTGATTCTCACTTGCACACCCCCATGTATTTCTTTCTCTGTAATCCTTCCTTCCTGCACATTTGCTACACAAGTTCCTCCATCCTACTAATTCTGGACAGCTTCCTGACAGGAGGGAAAAGGGTCTCCTTCTCTGAGTGCATGGTGCAAATATTTCTTTCCTTTGCCATGGGGGCCACAGAGTGAGTGCTTCTGGGCACGATGGCACTTGACCGCTATGCTGCCATCTGCTGCCCACTGAGATACCCTGCCATAATGAGGAAAGGTGCCTACGTGCCCATGGCAGCTGCATCCTCAGTTGCTGGGCTTGTTGACTCAGTGATGCCAACATCTTTCACAATACAATTATCATTCCGTGCTAACAATGTCATTAACCACTTTTTCTGTGAAATTCAGGCTATTCTAAAACTGGCCTGTGCTGATATTGCAATCAATGTGATCAGTATGGCAGGGTGAAATATATTCTTATGGTTATTCCATTGCTATTAATTTCCATCTCTTACACTGTTATTGTTGACACTATTCTGAAGATCCCTTCCACTGAAGGAAAACGTAAAGCCTTCTCCACCTGCTCAGCACACCTGACAGTGGTGATTATATTCTATGGAACCATGTTCTTCCTATAGGCAAAGCCCAAGTCTAAAAGCTCTGTTGGTCCAGATAACCAAGACATCATTGAGGCCCTCATCTCCCTCTTTTATGAAGTGATGACTCCCATGCTCAATCCTATCATCTATAGTCTGAGGAACAAGGATGTGAAGACTGCTGTGAAGATCATGCTGGGTAGGAAAATCTCTGAGGGAACACAAATACTGATTTTCACTACGTGACTCAGTATAACAAAGTTGCAGCAGACACAAACTCCAAATGGAGAAAATCACCATGTGAAAAAAAATTCACCACCTGTCACCCAAAACTATATACAGGAATATTTTGGTTGCAGTTATTACTATTAGTTTTTTTCTAACTGCAGAAATAAAGCATGCTTGTGATTTTACAAAATACTATTATGGAAATGTAAAAAGTTGAAAATCTCTTAGGAAGTCCCAGCAAAAAATAATCACTCTTAAACCTTTAAGAAATAAAAAAGGCAAAAGTTGTTCTAAAAAGCACTTTGTAAACTAAAATAAGTACATGATTAATTAATTATTGCAAGCAATTATTAATCAGCACATGACATATTGTATATTCGTTATTTATTTGTTCATTTATTTACTGTGTGTGTCCACCACACATATAAGCTCTCTGAGAGTAGGAACTTCTCTGTAATTACCCTAAAACCTCCCAAAGATCTAGAATATAACATGACACATAGTAGACGCTCAATAAATATTTTTTGAATAAATAAGAGAACTATAGCATTATAAAAGTAGAAATTTATATTTGATATATCTGAGGGGATAAAGGTTACTCAAAACGAAATTTGATTCTGTATAATATTTTCTAAATAAACTAGATTGGCATTTTATCATATGAACTCCTTAATAAAGTACTACATTTTCTTTTTTATGTGATGTGTATTATATTGTTGAGGAAATGGTTTTATTCACCAGCTGCCATAACTTTTCTGGATTCGGTACATAATGAAACAAAGACAACTGAAAAATCCCCTAGTAATGCACCTGAAGTTTTAACCTAATAAAATAAAGCTGACATAGTAGCAGAGAACTCCTTATGGACTTCAATATCTGGTAGGAATGAAGACTTCCTTTCTTCTCTTCATTGGACCATACATCTCCTAATCAGTAGGAGAACTAGAAAGAACTGGTAACTGACAAAAATTGCAATAAGAGGATAAGAAGTGGCAAAAGAGAGAGTCAAGTTGTTCAATGAACCTGTTACCGAACCTGAAGTGAGTTCGCTCACCCGTTGCTCAGCAAGCCAATTTCTGACACCGTGTGTGGTGGAAGAAAGTAGGAACTTTATTTTTGCACAGCGCTGAGCAAGGAGAGAGGGCAGCTAACGCTCAAATCCCAAACTCCCCGAAAAGCTAAAAGGAAGGAGTTTTATTTGGGGTTTTAGGTAGGGGAGGGGGAGCATACGGCCTTGCTGGTCAGAGCTTTCCCACCAGCCTGTCTTTGGCCTTGAGACACTTGAAGAGAGGAGGGAGCTCATGACCTTGCTGGTCAGCAGCTTTCCCACCAGCCCATATCTCTTTGCGGGAGGAGATAGTCCAGGTGCTTGTCCTTGACGGTGTCTGTCTCCATGGAGGATAGTGGATTCTGGAGCCAGGAAGCCAGAGAGTAAGCAGGGAATGAGTGTTTTAGTTTTAACCTCATATACACTGGGTTTAATGTGGGGAAACTGATATCAGGGTCGATATCAAACCGAGGAGCTACAAGGTTTTGGCCATTGGGGGCTAAGACAAATATGGTGCAAAACTGACCTAATCTCCATTGTCTAAAGAGTGTGGCTTTGTCAATGTGAAGAATGGAGGCCCTATTTCCATCGAAGGACGTGAGTTAGATACATCAATAGAGGAAAGTATTCTTTTTTTCTAGCCCTTTGAGTAGTCTAGGATATTTAAAACACAGAACACAAATCTAAAGAAAAAGACTATAGCTACTTCCAAATTGTAAAAGTAAGCCCATAATATCTTCCTTTCTTGTTAACACGTAATTAGGGTTTACTCATAAGATTAAATAAGTTAATTCATGCATAGTGCTAAATAGCGCCTAGAAAATCCTAAATGTCTAGTAAACATTAGCTGGGTTTTTTAAACTAATAGCATTGGGTGCACTTTAATAGGTCATAATGCTTAGAGTAACCACAAGATTTTCATCCTTACTTTTTATGGAGAATTTTGATGCTATCAAAATATTGTCTCTCAGCTTCAAATCCACTTTCCTATGCTCTGATGTATGAGTCAGGATTGGGACACTGAAAACCATATTTCTGCTTTCCTAGCAGGCGTCTGTTAAATTCGTCCAAAAGAGTTGGCAGAGAGAGAAAGGAAGATTGGAGGAAGATAGGGGACTTGAGCCTCCCTATTTGCTTCTTGTTTCTGTCAGCATCTCCCCAGCTGTGATTCTTCACCATGACAATGGCTGCTCCTTAGCTGCTTCCAGTATTGGTTTCAGTTTTTGTGTCTTCTTTTCTGTACCCCAGGACCAGTAGCCTACCAGTGCCACCTCCTCAGAGGTTTGAATCTGTCACTCAGCTTTTACTTCTTGTAAATGAATAGCCATGTCAACTCTTTACTCTGTTTTGAGGTATCTTGAAAAGCAATGGAATATGCAATTCTCTGCTTGAGAAATTTGGCAACTCAGATGGAGCATGAGCACTAGCTTTGGTCAGACTATCATTTCCATACACAACTAAATAACAGAAGGTCCTGGGAAAGACATTTGTGTTTCTTCTGCAGCTGCTTTCTTGTGTCTAA